GTGAAGTTGGCAGAGCCCGGGAACTGTAGGTTAGCTGGTCTTGGGTGAATCTTAGGGTGTGTCTAAGTGTTAATTAAAAGAACACATAACTTTGTTAAAACCATTGCCTATAGGTGAACTGGGAGACCCTGGCAGAGATGGCAGATAGAGTCTTACACCTCGCTGCACTGGCAAGCGCTGTGTGGGAAAGCAGCCGCGGGCCCCAGGAGGGGACCAGGAATGGGAAAGCCACAGGTGATAGAGGGCCCGGGGCAGCTCCCGCGGGCTCCTGCAGAGGCAGAGGCTGGAGAGCAGGGACAGTGTGAGGAGTGATCCCGGAACCGCTGACCCCTCCTCTCCCCTCCTCTCCATGAACCTCTGGTCCTGGCAGTGCTGGAGAAGGGTGAGAGAAACCCAGCTCATTCCATGCCGCGTGCATTCCCAGGAAGGCGGCCAGACAGCAGTCAGGCCTCAGTGGAACTCGAACCTCTCAGCTCATCTGTCAGAGGGAGGAGAAAGGCAGGGGCTAAACAAGACAAATCTAGCTGCTGCCTTCAGCGATGGGATCTGCCAGGCGATGGGCAGGAGGGACGGAGGTGCAAGTCCCCGGTTCTTTTTTTTAAATTTTACTTTAAGTTCTGGGATACAAGTGCAGAATGTGCAGGTTTGTTACCTAGGTATACCTGTGCCATGGTGGTTTGCTGCACTTATCAACTTTTCTAGGTTTTAAGCCCCATATGCATTAGGTATTTGTCCTAGTCTCTCCCTCCCCTTGCCCCCAACCCACGGACAGGCCCCAGTGTGTGATATTCCCCTCCCTGTGTCCATGTGTTCTCATTGTTCAACTCCCACTTATGAGTGAGAACATGTGGTGTTTGGTTTTCTGTTCCTGTGTTAGTTTGCTGAGAATGAAGGCTTCCAGCTTCATGTCCTTCCTGCAAAGGACATGAACTCATTCTTTTTTATGGCAGCCTAGTATTCCATGTAGTCTTAGGTTCTTGTTCCTCCGTGAGGCAACCACTGCCTGGGGCTGGCAAGGCAAGATGTGGAAATTAATTAGACTTTCCATCTGTTTTAGACTGAACATAAAATAGCAAAACAAAAATAATCTTCATGTTTCTACCCTCTAATGAAATGTGCACCCAGCAAACCTCTTCCTCAGAGTAAAACTAGTTCCCTAGGGGCATGGACACCACCAATTCCATGAGGCCCCTGTGGTGGCGAGGACAGGTCAGCATGCTCAGGGCTGTGAAACTCAGCTCTGCTGTTTTCTTGCCGAATGACCCTGGGTCTGTGACTTGATATCTCTGAGCCTCAGCTTCCTCACCTGTAACACGTGGATATAAGGCCCTCATCACAGGGCTGGTGAGCAGATCACAAGACGTGCTTTCCTCTCCTCTTAGCACAATGGCTGTAACCAACAGGACAGATAAAGGAAGGGGAATGGTGGTGTCAGTTCTGCCAGCACTTAGGGAGTAGCTCATTCTATTAGTCCATTTTCACTCTGCTGATAAAGACATAAAGAGGTTTAATGGACTTACAGTTCCACGTGGCTGAGGAAGCCTCACAATCATGGTAGAAGGCAAGGAGGAGCAAGTCTCATCTTACATGGATGGCAGCAGGCAAAGAGAGAATGAGGAAGACACAAAAACGGAAACTCCTAATAAAACCATCAGATCTTGAGAGACTTATTCACTACCACGAGAACAGTATAGGGGAAACTGCCGCCATGATTCAACTATCTCCCACCGGGTCCCTCCCACAACATGAGGGAATCATGAGGGTACAATTCAAGAGGAGATTTGGGTGGGGACACAGCCAAACCATGTCACCATCATGTGCTCAGCCCTGAGTTAGGCTTAGATAAATTATGTTTATTTCCATGCATGGAGTTTATGAGCCTGTTATAGGGTGGCAATACTCTGTCATGCAGTTAGTTAATAAATAATTAATATACAGATAATTCCAGTGTAAATTATTTAGTGCAAAGTATAAATTCTGTAGGAGCCTAAGGAAAGGGAAATGGATGAGGAGTTAGGGTAGCAGTGAACATGCTAAAAATAGCTGACTTTTTATAGGGCTTTTAAGCTGGATCACTCAGGATTAGGTTCAGCTGCAGGTAGCAGACATCCCATCTAAGAAAACCCGGTGCAGTCCCAGGAGGAAAGAGAGTGGGAGACGGAACTCCACGGGCATGGGGCATCCATGTCAGGGGTCCCAGAGGACTCGGAGAAAGAATTCGAACCTCTGCTCCAAAGGCTATTATTAAATTTTAAGCTTGGCAGAAAATTGACCATTCTGGAAATTAATATGACCACTAATAGTGATACTAATTAAAAAAACATGTTCTAGAGTCAGAGCCAAGTCAGAGAGTCTTCAGTCGGATAAACGCTGATATTTCCTTTACCTACAATAAACCCGGAGGTAGGAAGTCTGGGGTCGGCTTGTTGCCCTTCATCTCACTCCCATCGCCTGTTTTCAGGGATCCAGACTTTTTCTGTCTTTCTGCTCCATAGTCCCTCATGTGTAGCTTCTAGCCTCCAAATTTCCTCATGGTTGCAAAATGGCTGCCGCAGCTGTAGCCATCACGTCTGCATTCCTTCTAGCTGAATCTGTCCCCTTCAAGTGGCTTTCCTGGGATCCCCACCCAACAACTTTCTATTGCCAGGGAGCCAGGAAATTTAGTTTCTTAAGAAGGGCACCTTGCTGTTTCTAACATATAGGAGTTTTGTGACTAACAGAGAAGAATAGCTATTGGATACATGGTAGAGAGTACCTGACTGTGAGGTACAGAGCTTCTCCCCTTGTTCCATCTGCCCTGTCTCCTCTTTCTCTCCACTCTACCCTCTTTCCACAGCCCCGGACTCATCTTAGACTAGCCTGGCACAAGATGCCTCGACTCCAAGTGTGTTACATGCTTCCACACGGCAGCCTGTTCACCTGGACAGTCTGGTTGTCTGCCTAGCTAGGCTGCTTCATTTGCCCTGGTGTATCCAGAGCTGAGTGCAGGGCCTGGCACATAGCAAGGTTTCCACAGGACTCTGGGGGATGAAGGTTCAGTGCTGCATGCGTTGCCTGTTCTGTGCAGGTGCCCTCGAGTGCAAGCACCCAGGTGAGGTGGAGGCAGAAGGAAGAGTTGACCAGCGTCCAGGTCAGACCTCTGTGGATGATCATAATTACTTTACCGAAGTCCTTTTGGTTGCTGTGTTTAGTTTTGTTTTAAACACTGTAATTTAGCCAGGCCACCTCTTCACTGATGAGTATTCCATTGGTGTAATTATTGTCTTTTGCTTAACAAAAGGACATTTTTGACTAAGAGGTATCTTCCCAGACTATGTCAATTGGCTGGAGAGGACAAGGTCTGTGTTAAAAAAAGAAGGTGGAGAGGGAGAAGCAGCCCAACCGCTGACCACAGTGATGAGTGCATTGATCCTGCAGGAGATGAGCCCAGGTGAGCACGAGGAGCAGCGGACCCGGGCTGCTGCTAGGGGACTTCCTTCTCTTCTCATTAGGAAATAACTATTGCTTTATTGCTTAGGAGAATGTTATCTCCTAACATTTGTTTGGAGGCAGAGGACAGGAGTGGATCAAGAAAACAGAAAGTACAAAAAGTCAAAAGTTTATTCCTAGTCTCATCATCTGGAAATCACTACTTTTTTTTTAAACTCTTATTTTAGGTTCAGGGGTACACGTGCTGGTCTATTATATAGGTGAACCCGTCATGGGGGTTTGTGGCATAGATTATTTCATCACCCAGGCACTAAGCCTAGTACCCAATAGTTCTTTTCTCTGCTCCTCTCCCTCCTCCCACCCTCCACTCTCTGACAGGCCCCAGTGTCTGTTGTTCCCCTTGTTGTGTCCATGAGTTCTCATCCTTTAGCTCCCACTGATAAGTGAGAACATGTGGCATTTGGTTTTCTGCTCAGCATTAGTTTGCTAAGGATAATGGCCTCTGGCTCCATCCATGTTCCTGCAAACGACATGATCTTGTTCTTTACTCTGTCTGCGTAGTATTCCATGCTGTACATGTACCACATCTGTAAAGTCCAATCTGTCACTGATGGGCATTTAGGTTGACTCCATATCTTTGCTATTGTGAATGGTACTGCTCTGAACATAGATGCACATGTGTCTTTATGGCTGAATGATTTATATTCCTTTGGGGCTATATCCAGTAACGGGATTGCTGGGTCGAATGGTAGTTCTGGTTTCAGCTCTTGATGAATCACCACACTTCTTGGGAATCACTATGGTTAATGTTTCATAAACATCATTTTAGAGCTTTTGCAATGCGTAACTTCTACCAGAAGAGTAGATAGAAATAATTTTACACAAATGAAATACATCATGCATTAGATTTTATATTACTTGTATTTAACTGAAGAAAATGAATCTAAAACTGAATGCGAAGGAAATGGATGAGTGAAGATGTGTGTTTTCTTCATAAGTGATATTAGTGATTTTTCCTAAAAATCTAAAATTCAGAAAGTTAAGCTACAAAGTTGGTGTTAGGGTCAACCTTTTTTTTTAAAAAAAATCTAATGTTATAACCTTAACAAGATCTGTTGATTTCTTCCCCTTGAATTTGCACAACTTACATCTCCTACCCTCTTTTCTTCCTCCCCTATGACTTTTGTTGGGTGGACTATTTTTATAGACTTACGTTTTATATCATCTACGTTTTGTTCTGTGCCACAATTACCGTGTATTTCATTTGAGACCCTTCCACTTTCAGATGCATTCAGTATTTTCATTCCAGCTTCTTCATGCCTGAATTTTAACATTTTAATGATTCAACTGCTGTATGGCTAAATTTTTGTCATCAAGTACTTTTTTTCTCGAGAAGGGCTCCTGGGTGCTATAGTGGTGGAATTCTTCTGTGGTTGAGAATCCACCTTAGCAGGTTCTATGTACGGTTGAGCCTTAAACAACAGGGGTTTGAGCTGCGCGGATCCACTCGTACATGGATTTTCTTCCGCCTCTGCCACCCTCCTCTTCCTCCTCCTCCACGGCCTCCCCAGCGTGAAGACGATGAGGATGAAGACCTTATGATGATCCATCACCGCTTCAGGAATAGTAAACGTCTTTTCTCTTCCTCACTATTTTCTTAATAATGTTTTCTTTCTTCTAGCTCACTTTATTATAAGAACGTAGTATATGATATCAATAACATACAAAATAGGTGTTAATCAACTGTGTGTGTTATCAACAAGGCTTTTGGTCAACCGTAGGCTATGAGGAGTTACATTTTTGAGGAGTCAAAAGTTAAGCAGATTTGTTTTAATTGCATGGGGGTCCACACTGCTAGCCCACGAGCTGTTCAAGGGTCTGCCATCACTCTTGGGTGTCTCTTCCCTCAGGAGGAGCTGGCACCTGACCCAGAATGCCTGGCGCGGGCGAAGCTGGGCAGGGGACGCCTCTACCTCGCAGGTGACTTTTCCCCAGCCTGGACACTCACATGACATTTTCTCACCCTGGAGACTCAGTGGCTCCACTCGGGTGTGTCTCGATGACGAACGGCTGTGAACCAGTTGTTCCTAGAACAGGAATAACATGTCCCTTTAATCTGCAGATGCAGACTTGGTTTGTTCAGGGAAAGTGTTCCAATTTTATCCATATATTCTTTTCTGTTCTATTTATTTCTGTTTCAGATATACCAGTTGTCCCTGTATTGGGCTCGTCTTCATATTTAATTAGGTTGAATCATAGGAAATTGTTATTTTTGACCACTTGTTAAAACCTATAAAAATTCAGAGAGAGCCGCTCACATGTTCTTGTGGTTCCAATTAAAATTCCTTTCTTTTCCCTTGTCTTTTTATTCATTGTATTATCTGTGAATATCAATAAGCCCTACCTGCACGTACCTAATCAAGATTTAGCTGTGTTTATCTGGCTCCTCGTGGTTTCCGATATAGGTATTATTTATCTAATGAAGAATTAGTAGCCTTGATTTGTTTCTGTATCTCTTCAATTTTTCTTTGCGTTTTATTCCAGTTGTCTCATTTTATTTTTGAATTCTTTTCTCAGTGAATTCTTACGCTCTTTATTTTTAGCTAACTTTCACATTATTTATTATTGGAAGCTTTTTTTTTTTTTTTTTTTTTTTTACTTCTTGCAGTATGCTGCAACAGCAGGTTTAACCTTTGTATTTTGCATGCCATTTTCCTCTCTCTCTTTTATTTTTCTTCTCAGCTGTACTATGTCTAGATACTCCTGTGCCTGTCTGGCTGCCTTTCTCTCTTCTAGCCGCCCTCCCTCGCTTCCTGCCTTCCTTCTTTTTGAGCTCAATCAACGTGGGAAGCCCTGTGAGTCTTCTCTCTGACTAAGCAGAATGTGAAACTTCCCTGGGACTGATGGGTTCTGTGTCCTCCCTGCTCTGGTGGGGCTTGAAGGTACAGCTGGAAACTCTCGTCTTCGTGCAATTTTTGTTAGTAGTCTGGGCTGATAGAGGAACTCTTGCAAGTTCAGGGCACAGCCAGTTCTGCAGGCGATGCCCTTGGGTTTCCATTTATTGCCCCGATTTGTTCTCTGCCAGAGACAAGGACCCCTGTGTGGGCTCCTCCCAACCCAGTGGAAGCAGAGAAAGAGGGGGACGGGGAGGTGGGGAGCTGCCCCTGGATGTCCTGCAGGATCCCTGTGCCTGCAGGAGTCTTGTTCTCTTTCCAGTTTCTTCCCTCTATCCTGATGTGTTTACTGCTATAGAATATTCTGCCCTGGACAACTGTGGTCAGTTGGTCGTCCCATTTTCCTCTCCAGCTCTTCCTCCTGCTCATCTCTGGGGCTCCTTGGAGGTAAGAGGTAGGTGAGGGCTTTAACCCCAGAGACTCTCCTTCAACTGCTGACCAGTTCTTTTTGAATTTAGGTTTATTCATGAAAAAGCTCAGAATACTGTCTGCTTACCCTCTTCCCCAAGGTTCTGTTTCTCAGGGAGAGGAACCTGTTGTTGATTCCCATACTTTTTCCTCCTGGACTTCACTTTGAAAAGATGATGACATGAAGCTAGTCTTTTTTGGATGTTACTATTGTGTTTTAAAACTGGTTTTCACTGATTGCTTATTGTTCAGTTTTATTAGGTTTTACAGGATGTTTCTGTGGTCTGGCTTTATTTGGAGAAGGACCTTTAGTGTGTTTTAAATATAATGTAAAATGCAAATGTCATTTCCACACTGCTCATCTCCACAACGCTCAATTCCTAGGCTTCCTCCCAGGTGACTTCCACCAGCCTCTGACACACAGGTCTCTGCCCCTGGAGACCCCGCATGGTCTCAGACAGACCCAGCCCTCTGTACCGCTCATTGTGTTCCCCTGAGTCACGGCAGAATATGCTGGGAATTCATGGTCCTGAGATGGGAGGGGCTGGCTGCAATCGCCTCGCTCTGTTCCAGCCCTTCTAAAACCAGGATGGCCTTGCCTGCTTTATCCCAGTGAGTCCTGGAACGCCCAGGTATAAAACCCAGGGCGGGATGCTTTCTGGGGTCCTCAGCCACAGTGCAAGTGGGGCACTTTCAGGTGAGACCTCTCTGCCCCGGCCACTTCCCTGAGCCTGGGAGACTGCCTGGCTACGAGCCCTGGGCTCCTGTGGTTCCTCGATGCCTATCTGTAAGTAGTCACCCGCTTCACATAGCTCTTGTGGGAGGGGTCCTGGCTCCCTGGACTTGGGTAAGTAGTAGGAGTGCAGCCCAGGACGCCGTGAGCTGAAGTGGAGGCCAGTGCCTGGCGAGCCTGCTTCCAACCTCCGCCTGTGTGGCTTCCTGTGCCCCACCCTCCAGGGCTCTTGCCGCCTCCTGACCTGCGCACCCACCTCTGCCTCCTCTGCTGCCCCTTTGGGTCCTTTGAGCTCTCGCGGTGGCCATGGTCTAGGCCTCAGTCCTTGGGGCCTTGCTTTTCCCTTCTTGGTGGTCTTGTCCAGGCTTGTGGGTTTAAATCCCTTCATGCATTGATGACCTTGACGCCTCTCTTTTCCCGACTTGTCTTCCGAACCCCATCTCAGCATGCCTGATGGGAGGGCTCACAGGTGTTCCCTGTCCACCCCGGCCCGTGCCACCTGCCATCCACATCCCAGCCCTGGCAGTGCCCCTAGCCTGGCAGAATCAGGCCAGCTCTGAGGCAAGGAGAACCCTGAGTGCTGGGGGTGGGTGGGGTGGGGTAGGCAGAAGCTGGTGGGGAGGGCAGAAGCCAGCAGGCAGTGGGTCCATGGAATAGGGACAGCTCTGCTGGCACCCACCAAGGACCCTCACCCAGCCCGTGCCACCAGCAGCCTCCCTATCCCAGCCTGTCCAGGGGAGGAACTTCCAATCCGGGAGCCACCCTGGCCCTTTTCCTTCTCCCCGCCCACATCCAGCCTGTCAGGAAATTCTGTCTCCGCTTTCACAGCTCAGACCCAGAGCCCGCTGCTGCTCCAGCTTCCCCGCCAGTCCCAGCCACCCTCATTCACCCTCCATTATGCAATGCATTATTTCTCAGTCTCCTTGCTTAACCTCTGCTTATTCTCAGGAAGGGGATTCCCACAATGGCTTGCTCTCTCTTTCAGAATAACAGGCGGCTCCCCAGGCCCCATCTCTCTGTGCTCACCTCCCTCTTCCTAGAAGGGTCCTCCTGGAAGCACATCTCTCCTCGGCTCCGCTGCTCAGCTGTAGCTTCTGGTGAGGCCCACCCTGGCACTTCATTTCAAATTGCAACTCTCCCTGGCACCTCCGCCGGTTTTATTGTCACTGTTCACACCCTACACTGTGCTCCTATTTCCTGCTCCTTATCTGTTTCTCTTGCTAGAAGGCAAATTCCACAAAGGAAGGGTTTTGATTCTCTTCAGTTCACAAGTGTGCCCAGCACCTAGTAGACAACACACAGGCAGTGAACAAACACATCAGTGCAAGTTCAGTAAGTGAATTCTTATGGAAACAAGCTGTGGAATTAGAAGCAAAAGGTTTGGGGTCCCATCCTGAGTCCACCACTCATGCAAACGCTCCGTGATTCGGTCTCTTACCCCTCAAGTGGGGATGCTACCAGCTTGAATGATGGTGGCAATGTGCCTGCCATGGTTACTCGAAATGAAAATCCACTTCCAGATTAAGTCTGTTGCATACATTAAGTAGCTACCTGGGCTGGGAAGATAGCCAGAAGTGGAAAGCTTTATAAATAGTGGGTTACAGGAAAAGTAAAGAACTTTGCTCAGTAACCTCAGCACAGTCAACCCCCAAGGAGGGAAAGAGGAGCCCCCCCCACCACCTGTATGTCATTCAGCTTCTTTCCCAGCAGCTCCGCGAGCCAGCTTCGTCTCTACATGCACAGGAGCACACGGGCTCGGGGTAATTACATGACTTGTTTGAGAAGCCAGTCTGGAGCCAAATTCTTCTTTTCCCCCTCAAATGCCCGGCCTGCTCTCCTACGCCGCAGCAACCCTCAACTGCAAAACATACAAATGAAATATTCAGATCATGACTTCTGATATTACTCTTCACTTCCTAGCTTTTTTTGTGACCTTCTATTAATAGACCATACTTAGGGGACTCAGAGGCACAGGCCACCACTTACTAGAATTTAAAATAATTATTAAAAATATTTATTGGACTCAGCTTTCTACCTTTTATTGAGAAATTCTAATTACATGACTTCTTTGTGCGCATTATTCAATTTGCACATCAAAACCTGACATTTCTGTTAAATTCTGGTTTTGTCACATGATTTTTTTTCACCTAGTATATAATAATGCCATCATATTGAGAATTATAAAAGTTCAGAACGATCCCTAACTCCCCTGAAACCTGTCATTATACTTAAATTTCCAACCGACTTTCTAGAATATTCTACTTTTCTTCCTTTGTTTTATGCAAATTCCAGGTGGTGAGGACTCTTCATTTCCTTGGCAGGGCCTCTTTGGTAGCTTTTCCTGGAAACTCGGAGAAGGAGCTGGCTCTCAGCGTCACTAAGATGGCTCTGCTGGGCTCTCTCCGGCGGGTGCGGGGTCTGCATGCACACACGCTACAGCACAGGCTGCGTGACCACAAAACCCACCAGGAAAGACCCAGCAAAGGCACTGGGGTTGCCATGCATGTGTGAAAGGGAGAACTTGTTCGCATCTGTCCCCTGGTGAGCACTTGCTTCCCGAGGACTCCGATTCATTCTTCATAAAAAGCGTGCATCACAGAGATAACTCCAGCTGCATAGAAGGTGCCAAGATGTGATGGAAATTAGGAGGAGGTAATTGCTCGCCTGCGCTCTCTCTGTGATAAGCTTCCACGAGAGAAGACAGGAATATTTAAGAGCCTGAAGTTACCATGTGATGCCTGTACAATGAGGCCAGCGTGGCTTGCTGGAGCCCCAGAGAACTTCTTGGATGATGACATTGCCCTCAATGTTCCCGGTTCTCTTTTTCCTTTTCTTTTAAAAAATAACTCCTCCCGTCTCCCCAGGGCCTTCACCAGTGCATCTGGGAGGTTATTTGGAGGAGGGAGAGCTTTGGATCAGGATGATGAATATCGAGGACTTAGCTCTGTGCCAGGCACCCAGCGGCACCCTGGACCCGAGAGCCGCCTCCCAGGTGGACATTTGTCAGGAGCCTGAGCTGCCCCCAGGAGCACCTGCCCACCCATTCCCATGAGAGCCATCTCTCCACACGAATGGGGACCAGCCACCCTGGCCTCTGAGCCGTGCTGTCTGGCAGCTGCCAGGCTGGTTCGCAGGCTGTGGGGTGTGATGGGTGATGAGGTTCACCCCCCGACATTCTCAGCTGCAGGAATTTGAGAAAAGTGCAGAAGCAGGAAGCCACACTCACTTTCCCTCGTCCTCTCCTGACTTAGATCATAACAGCCAGGCAGGAGTCTCTGGCCGTCCTGGGAAGCTGGTCTAGGAGCCCCACCCGTGAGAGGTGGCCACCCCGTGGGGTGGAGTGGAGCTTCCTTAGCTCAGGAGCTGAGGGCCACACAGGCCTGCCAGGTCCCCCCGCTTTGCTGCCAGTAGATCACGCCGCTTCATTCTGTTCTTTCCCTCCACCGTCCCATTTTCACCAAACCTCCTATGAAACACGCTCAGGCTCACCAGTTTCTTTGGGTTGGCATTTCCTTATGAAGACTCCTGTGTCACATAAAACTTAGATTAAGTAAAACGTGCACTTTCCTCTTGTCCATCCATCTTTTGTGATAGAAGCTTCAGCCGTGAACCAAGGGTGGATGAGGAACGACGTCTTTCCCCTGCTGAACGATTCTGCTGAAAGCTTTACATCCTTTCCTTCTTCCCCTGCGGCTGCTCCTCTTGGGACCCCTTCCTTGTTCACTCTCCCTCCCTTCCCAGCCTGAACGTGACAATGGAGACTGCTTGGGACAGCTTGGAGGGCCTCCACTGACCTTCCCTTCTGCGCTTCTCTTGCTCTTCCTGCTGTCCCCATCCCTGTGGGTCTGCATCCTGCAGAGGTACACACAGTTCCTGTGGGACAGCAGAAAAAGTATAAGCTATTCACAGGCTGCTGGGCAGATGCCAAACGCTCTCTTGCGTAATCTATTCCTGGACCTGGGCTACAGAAACATGCCAAGAAAAAGGTATAGAAGTTATTACCCTGAAAGGAAAGAATCATCAAAACAAAATTCAACAGGTGTCACCCAAGGATGTTGGCCTGGGAAGGGACTCCCTGGATGCAGCGCCATGCTTTGGGGTGCCTACAGCTGTGGGGTGTGCCTGGGCCCTTCATGGGTCCAGGGCAGCCTAGGGCAGGTGTGGATGGGATGGGAGCCTGCGGAGCTGGGGTCTCAGTGGAGCAGGAATCCTGTCTTGGCCCCAGGATCTTCCTGCAGTGGTTCAGGTAACATTTTTCTAGGCTGCAGGAAGATTTCCAGGAGCTTTCTAGAGATGGCTGCAGCCCTGTTTGTGTCTTTGGTGAATACGTAGATGTTTCACGATTCTTGGTCATTTCTGAATCCAGGACCTCGACGCGGAGTCCTGCTGGCGCTCCTGCTGCCTCGCTGGGCTGACTGCGAGTGTCCAGCGGCCCTGGACCAGCCCAGATGTAGCCTCTTACCTGGAGGGTATTCATGAAGCAGGCTAGTGTCAAGCAACTCTACCCTATGGATTCTGTTTCAGATAAAACATGCTCATTTGGTCAAGGCCAACACAGGCACCCCCATCTTGCTTTGTCTGGATGTAAACAGCTGAGGCTTGACCCTGCCCCGTCAAGAGGTGCACCTGGCTGCAGAGGCTCAGTCTCCCCTCTGAGCATTGTTGGGGTGTCTACCACCCCCCCATCACACGCTAAGCTCTTTCCTTCTTGCCATCGGGCATCACGACAGCATATTTAGCAAAATGCCACAGCTGTCATACGTGTGGTTCTCCAGCTGCTGCTTCTGAGCCAGCTTCCCCGGCCTCGGATAGACCAGAGTTTGCTCATCACGCCGTCTCTTCAGAGACTGATTATGTGGGAATTTGGAAAGTGCCGACTTTTCCCGGATGTTCTTGGTTCTTGATGTGATACTCCTCTCAGCAAATCCTACCTTCCTTTCCCTTTGCAATGTTTGAGACCATTTTCTACTTGAAAATAAAGTGACCTTAAGGCACCATGTTCGTTCCAGTTTCAGAGAATTGCCTTGCTCCTTTCTTCCTACGAGAGAAAAGCACGAAGCCCCTTTCCCTGCTGCCGACTTTCCCGTCTGCCCCTGGTGCCAGGCCGCCTGTGTCTTCACAGGAAACTCCGCCGACGAGGAGCTGTGTAAGATGTCTGCCTGATGTACGGTCACTTTCTGCAGACGTAGAGCATGAAATAATCAGGACAACATGTCAGCCAGGTCATACCCTTCGGTTGACTATAGTTTTGTCTGGGAGTGAAATTTTAAACTGCCAAGCAACTTCTGTGTTGTGTTGTAATCATTTAGAGCCTTCCCATTTTTATAAGACTTTTGACTTATCTGTTTCTCGCTTAAATGCTTTCTTCTTTAGTTATGCCTTTTCCGGATGGATGTGTAGGCTGTGCTATGTCTTGAGAGGCACAGGGAATCCAGTCACTGAGGCGTGCTCACTGTGGCTTCAACCACGGGCATCGATTTCTCCCCTAAAACCCTCGAGGAGACACTTCGGGGCTGTTCTCCTGGCTTCCTCAGCTGCACGTTCACACCTGTGTCTGGGCCTCATGGCCTCCCTCACCGGGCCGCATAGGAAGGTCAGGTGCAGGGAAGCTTCTGTGGGCGGTAGGGGCTGGAGGTGTCTTGTGCGCTGCTTCCTCTCCCTCCTTTTTTCTTTTTCTCTTTTTTTTCTTTTTCTTTTTTTTTGTTATTGTTTTAAATCATGGAGGAAGAATGATCCCCAGAATCTCACCCCGCTGGACTTACCCTTGGTCTCATTGGCCAGAGCTGGCCACGTGACTACCCTACTGGCCATGGAAATTGAGGCAGCAAATATCTGGGTTTTCAGGCTATGGTGGGAACAGCTGTTGGGAACGGCACCCGGGTCTCAATCGTGGACTGAAGTAAAGCCAGCTGCAGGTCGTCATCCTGCCGCCCCGTCCCTGCAATGAACCGCAGCCCCTCTCATCAACAGGGGGCTCCTTCCCCACCTTTGGAGGCCGAGCAGCCTCTGTCTTGCTTTGGCCAGTAGGATGGGGGCCTGGCCCAGCCGACGCTCAAGACGCCCTGAGCTCTTGCAGTTCCCACAAAGCCCTGTACTGTCACGAGCTGAGAGTCTCTGCGGGGCCCACCTGTCATGGGAGGGGCTTGGCAAAGCTCAGCGAAGCCACCCCGCCGACTGGCTGAGCAGATACATTCATTCTCCTCCGCCCCAGCTCAGATCGCAGCCCTGCCCCAACACCACCTCGACGGTGAGCAGGCACCGGTGGTGGTGGTTACATGCACAGAGGTTTGTGGTTATTTCTTGTGGTTACCACTGTGGCTGTAGATAACTGATAATGGAAATAATAGAGGGATAAAGATGTGTAAATACAGAAAATCACTCTGAAGTCTACCCTGCAGAGAAAACTATTATTAACACTTGGCAGGGGTGCCTTTATTTTTCTATATACTCCTTTTTCAAGTGTAGACATTATATGGTATGTAATTTTTTTCATTG